AAGCCTACTGATGCAGAGACTGTTGCTACACTCATTGTCTTCATTTGTGTTTGTTGGTGTATATGAGATAGAAGAGCTATGTGATCTGTGAAGTGCAAATCGTCTAGTTGCATGCAAGTTTTCCATTGTATTTTGAGCTTCCTCTCAGATGTGGAGGTCTTCATAGTTCAGTCAACCATCAGAAGGAAGAGATAGGTGGAGAGTAAGCAGTCTTGTCTGATTGCGGTCCGTTTGTGTTTGTTCTTTAGTAGTTGATAAACTCAAATCAGACAACTCTCAACTAATCAGTCGACCAAATTAAAATATTCTCTTCTACATTTTTTATTTGTATGTTAATCGTCAAGTTATTTCGTTTGATTTCACTGTATTTCCCATTTACGATGTGACTTGTATTTTATGCAAATGTAGTTTATTCTATTGAGATTCATTGACTAAAACATTTACAACAGGCACAAACACACACACACACAAACAAACACACGCATATAAACACGTAGAACTACGGTGATACGGAAATGTACAACTATTCTTTGAGTTGTTCTGTTTGTTATTAATTTTTTTCACGCTTGCTTCATTGTCATAGTTATTTCACTTCATTGGGTTGGTTTTTGTTCATTTATGTCTAATATCTAGGCTATACATATAACTATTACATATGTATGTTGACCCATCAACATTATCGATAGCTCCAGACACACACACACACACCGGTTACTTATATGAATGTGACTATGTTAACTGAGTAAAAATATTAAAAATATTCTGATTAATTTATCAATGAAAAGAGAATCATAAAGTGAAAGTCATGGTGACAGTATTAATTTACTCAACCTCATTCTCTTTCCGTTGTCAGCCGATTATAACCTCGATAAGCTAAGAGAGAAATTGTACGTATATACATATATATACGTATATTGTTGGTTGTCTACCCCTTTTCCTATATCTATGCGTGTGTATGCATTTGTTCTGAGATTACCTGATATCGTAAACTGTATTAATTGGAATATTTATCACAGTGTTATTATCCTGTTTCTTGTAGCGAAAGATAACAAGTTTCACTGTGCAAACATATTAAGAAAAGAAATCATGCACTTATTAGTGAATAGCTTCTAGAGGTGATTCCCTGAATTCTAGTGAGAAGCCATAACCAGTAGAGTCCAACTATACATGGTCTGAACATTACATTTTCTCTATAAGGCCTGAAGTTCTTGCGATTAATGACTAATAAGATCGTGGATATACACTACTGAAGATTAACATACTAGGAAGAAATAGCTGTTATTTTAAATCTTCCTGGTTTTCAGTGATTATCCAATTACGGTCAATTCGTGATGTAAAACTGCAAGATTATATTTCAATCAAGAAAACAAAAACCTATAAAATGGATTGCAGTAGTGAACAATGCTAAACTTTGAGCTTTTAATTCACCGAAATCCTTGGTAATTGTTTGATTGCGCCAGAGGATTGAACTGTATTGTTCAGGTCGTAAACACCTAAATGATATCTAGTCCTCCTGAAAATCAATGTAAAATTACCCTCTTACAAGGCATATTTATAATTATGAAGAGCGGATCAATAACTTCTTAGTTAAGGTATTTGATTTTCATTCACTTAGTCTCAGGTTCGAATCCTGATTTACCTAATTTGATTTAAGCAACCGGGTTGTATCGTTTGCCCTCACGCCTAAAGTGTGATTCATATCCAAGTATCTTGTAAATGAGTTAATTCTCTTCCTCTTCTTCTTCTCTTCTTCTCCTAAGGTTATTTCAGAGACCTATCATTTGATAAGATCCAAAAAATTATTATTATTATTAGTGAATTTATTCAGTATTATATTTTTGGTACAATTCTCACTGCAAAGTATTTCAACAATTTCCATTTCTTACTTCTTGATCAATCCTGATGATACGTATTAAGTGATCACCAGTCAATCGATATTTAAATAATATACATTCTTTTCGATGCATATTGCCAATAATCACGATATCTCTCATTGGGCTCTTTCCTAACTTGTACAGTGAAAGATCGTGATCTTTTTATAGACGCACCTGATTAAGGTTCTACAATTAATTGACATAATAATCTGTTAAAACAAACAAGGAAGCAGATAACTTATTGAAATATCTAGATGATAGGAATAGGTAGCTCAGATATTCAATCAGATCCGCCTATACCAGTTAATATTTGACTGTGATATTAATACTTTCTAATTTAATACTTATTCATGTAAGTTGATGTAAACTATAAGGTGCTTGTTAGTAACATTAATAATTGTATTTATTGTTTCATCAAATCTTTTGTAAATCGTACACATTTCGTTTTAAACACAAAAGAAAAAACATCGAGAGTAATGAATTACGATATGAAACAGCATGATATATTTCATTTATATATGTGTGTATGCATATATGTATGTATGTATGTATGTATGTAGGTAGGTAGGTAGGCAGGTAGGTAGGTGTGTATGTATGAATGTAGTATCCGCTTTGTTTACAATAGCGAGAAAAAACGAGTGAAAAATTAATGAAACCTATTTGAACGACAGTAGAAGCCTAGTTAAACAACAACAATAATTAGATGTATAATGTGTAGAGACAGGCCGTTCTTAGTTGGTGGAGCGATTTGTCTGGTTAATTCCGATAACGAACGAGACTTTAACCTGTTAAATAGTAGACTGGCCCTCTGTGCTCGTTCAGGGCGCGGCTTCTATTGCTTCTTTATGGAGTAGTGTGGTCGTGATCCGGCGGGTGTGGTGCCAGGGACAAGCGGCACACTTAAGTCACACGAAATCGAGCAATAACAGGTCTGTGTGCCCTTAGATGTCCGGGGTCACACGTGCGCTACAATGACGGTGCCAGCGAGTCTGGGAACCTGGCCTGAAAGGGCTGGGCAAACTGTTTTATCACCGTCGTGACTGGGATCAGGGCTTGCGATTAATCCCCGTGAACGAGGAATTCCTGGTAAGTGCAAGTCATAAGCTTGCGCTGATTACGTCCCTGCCCTTTGTACACACCGCCCGTCGCTACTACCGATTGAATGGTTTAGTGAGGTCGTTGGATTGGTGTCGTTGTAGTGGCGTTGCCACTCGAATGATGCTGAGAAGATGACCTAATTTGACTATTCAGAGGAAGTAAAAGTCGTAACAAGGTTTCCGTAGGTGAACCTGCGGGAGGATCATTATCATAACCCAAAAATATATAATAATGCATGCACCTGGCTTCGTGCTGGGCTGTATGTACCCTGGCTTTGTGGTTATTACCATAGGCTCCAGTGGTTATGATTTTCTCAGTACAATGGAAGATGGTCACGCAATTTCGTGGATTGGTTGACATTAGACTGTTGGATGCCGCCCGCTCAGTGGTCTAGGGGTTAAGCGATCGCGCGTAAAACCGGAGGTGCTGGGTTCAAATCCCGCGAAGCAGGATCGTGCATGCGCACTGTTGAGGAATATCACACTGGGACGAAATGGCTGTCCAGTGTTTTCAATAGTGGTCCAACATCAATCGGCTCATGATCTCAATCAAAAACTTAATAAATTCACTGTATTCAATGAAATCGTCTGAAGTCAATTTTCAGAGTTAATCAATACTAGTTCATTGTTAATTGAAAACTATAAAACATCACTGAAGTACAAAAGGCATTTTCTTAAAGCATTTTCAGCTATTTATTAAGCGATGAAATTAGAACATTCTAATGAAATTACCGAGTTTAAATTAAGCAGCAAATATTAGATATGCGCCTGATAAGGAAAAATGGGTGAATGTAGTTGAAAATCGATCAATATAAATTTCACATTAGCCGCTATATTTTAACGAAGTAAATCTGTAATGTTTAGGGCAATGAGGTTTCTTACAACATCTATACATCTTGTCAGTCTATCCAATAACTTGATCAAGACTTTCCCATATACTAATTAAATCAAGCAGTAAGGTCAATTCATGACGTTTTTAAGCATTGAGAGAAGCTTATTTGTGCTAATACAGATTTCTTTCTGGCCATCTGCAAAGATATAGCAACTTACAGTTTGTAGGCCTTGGATGGTAATATGTACCAAAATTAGTTCTAATGGTATAGGTTTATTCGTTTCACATTCTTCCAATTTTTAGTATTTTTATATTCACCGTTTTTATCGGCTTTTGCACGTCATCGGTTTCTCAACAGAATTAATAGCTTTAAATAGTGGAGATCATGAGCACCGGAAGGCCACTTCGTCCTTTCGTGAAACTCCTCAGCAATGCGCATTCACGTTTCTACCCCGTGGGATTCGAACCCAGGACCTATCGGTCTCTCTCGTGAGCGCTTAACCCCTACACCTCTGAGAGAGCGGCATCCAGTGGTGTTAATGTCTAACGTCAACGAAATTGCGTGACCATCTTCCATTGTACTGAGGTAGATACCTGTCTCTACTTGACATGGATTAGTTCCACTAATGAAGACTTCTCATTAGAATTCTGAGAATTCTCTCACGAAGCTAGTCACTAATGAGCTCATGGTGATGATCAATATGAGATTGTGGAGATTATTAACTTATTTTGATCGAGATCATGAATCGATTGATGTTAGAGTATCAATGTTTCAAATTTCTCAATAGTAGTCTAACATCAATCAGTTCATGATCTCAATCAAAAACTTAATAATCTCCACAATCCCTATACTAAAAACATGATGAATTGAAGAATTTAATTGAAGCAGATAAATCCATAGAGAGAGAGAAAAAAAACATACACATGATTGAAGGTGTGTAATAAATGCTAACTGATTGTAAACATTTATACAATGTACTATTTGAGTTCATCTTAAACAAATTGTACAGTTGATACTGAGGATTCTTTACTATAACAAAATCTATGATATTAAACCTCTTTATTATTATGATGATGATGATTAGTTTCTACTAACATTTTGCACAAGTTGTTGCTATCTAGTACCTTATTGGTTGAACAATATGTAATCTAATCATATTTCCTTTATATATACATGTGTATATTCTTATTTTATAGGTTACTTCAATCAAGAACATGATCGCAACAACAACAATAATAATAATAATGATAATAATGCAAATTCCTTTACATCTTTAGTATCTAATTGTAATGATTATTCATTGAAAGAAATTAATTCATCTATTAAATTTAATCAAACGATTCATAGTATCCCAGATACATTATCAATAATAAAAGTACAAAATACTGATCAATTATTGAATCATTCACCACGTCGGTCATCTTCTTTAATCAGATATCATAATAATAATAATAATAATAATAATAATAATAATAATGATCATAGAAGTTCGATCAAATTAAATCGTTCACAATTTCAACATTCTGATCATCATCCTCATCATCATCATCATCAACAGCGGCAGCAACAACAACAACAACCACAACAACACCCTTACATTTCAGCTTGTCCTATTGAACATTTAATTGATCATGATATATCATTGCCTTATATGCCAACTTTATTTAGTTCCGATAGTAAATCATCATCGTTAAGTAAAGAAAGTGGAGGAAAAAAGATTTTAGTAAGTTAAGATGAGTTTTATTTTTAAAAGATTTTTAATAATAAATAAGCTTTATAGTATGTTATATTTAAAAGCTTAGATTGTAACGACCGAACAACCAATATTCGTTTAGAACAACGGATTGACAAACCCAAAATTTATTCGATTAGACCAGACCACGTTCCTCTGTATAGTTCACAATGCGTTTTTGAGATACTCGTATTATATTATACCAAAACACAAACTCTGTGCTCAATATAAACGGTTCTAATTTAGAAAACAGAACAAATCACATCAAAAATACAAAATGCCTCAAACGGTACAGCCTGTGCTATACATTCAAAAGTTTCTCTAACGCAAAGTAGCGCGCTAAACAGTAAAAGAAACAGTTAGTTCCAAAGTGTTCGATACCTGACAATCAATACAAATATTCCCAACAAGATGGGATCAAATATCTATATGCAGGGATTCCAGCAATCCTCCCAAGGAGACAGTCAGAAAGTTGGCAGTCACACACTGAACCACGCCGTGACCTTGAGCTTAGTCAAACACGACCTTACTGTCAATAGTCCGGCAACATGCAATAGAAAATTAGGTAACAAAAGATAAGTCTTTAATCAAAATCACATCATAAAAACTGAAACGAGGAAGACTGAAAGACAAAAGATGTGAACAAAGGTTAAAATACACGACTGGGAGAAGAAACAGATAAATGACAGTACTGTCCAACAAAAAGCTGTGGAGGGATTTTCATCGTTCTCTTTCCGTTACATAGATTCTTAATATACCGCGTATGACTTAAACACTCGAACTCTAGAACCTTCCCAAAGTCTCAAATGAGAAGACAGAAGAAAACTGGAGAATATGCTAATTCAGCAAAAATCAAAACGTACAGAAAATCATGGGTATTTATAGATATAATTCAATCAATCTGCAAAGAGGCATGTTATGCTATTGATCACGTTGATATTCTAGAAAGTTCCATTGCGTTCTGATTGAATGGAACTCCTCGGTTTTTTCTAGAGCATCTGGAAGCTCTGTCGTAGTTCTCGAAAGCCGTTTCAACATAGTCCATTTAAAAAAGTACTAACATAATCTTTCTAATTGATATATGAACTGAAATCATGAATACTTTACGTTAAGAACTTTAGGGGGATAAATCAGCCTTAATCGTCATCAGAATATTCATTATTTGAGGCAACACCCTTTTATCACCTCTACTGTCTAAACTATTCCGGATAATTAACAGAAGTTAAACTGTCTAACTGACTTCTTGTGTTTCCTGTTTCGGTATGATTATGATTTTCGAAGATTCAGTTCATCGCTAATATTCCAGATGGTCAGTGCATAAATGAAAACCTGCAGGATCTCAAAAAATTCGCATTTTTATCAACTATGGAGATCATTATTCATTTATTTATTTAAACACATAAACATTGGTACAAGAAGGCACCAAATATATATGCGCTACATAAATCATTCGCTTTATGTAAGGGCAGTAATACTGTCCCGCCGCTCAAATCGAAACAGATGGTTTTCTTACGGAATCACTCCTCGATACCTTAACTCAAAGGCCTAATCCACAATTCGGTGAAGCAACGTTTAGAGATGCAGTCACATAGTAGCCGGTGACCAACTATAGGTTCATTCATCATTTGTTCCCTTAGGATCCTAGAGCACCATTGGTTTGGAATCAGGGTATCCAACTCTCCTAGGTAGATCCACAATATCCACCATCCCAATTAAGGCGTCGGAAATTAGCTCTTCGTCCTCTGAATTTCGTAAACATCCCCACCACAAGAAAGCAATGAGTAGGATTTCCCTGTTAGTGGCTGCATGCACGTGGCCATGTAAGAGCATTTCAAGAAAGAGATAATTGACTCTGCCTACCCTCAGTCGTATCAGAGCATTTGGGAGCTAATAGAGATCAGTAGTCTTCCTAGTCCTGCATCCTCTTTCGCGTTCTTGACGAATTCCACTAAAATATTTGGTTTACTTAGAAATGGCTGTTTTGTTCAATGAGTTGCATCCGTGGACAGCTATCAACATTTTGAGAAATTCTTTTATGAGTTTTAATCAAAATCCCTACTAACTCAGTTTATGTATTTATCGGATATCTTGAAAATATAATTCGTTTAAAAATAGATCCTACAAATTGTCATAACTCTACACTGATACCTATATATGTATAGGTTTTACAACTGAAAATGAAATCCATGCCACACAGTCATGAGTGTTTTGAATAGCATTTTTAAAATACTTTATCATAAGGGTTTGGTCCCAGATAACAAGGAACCCTGGTTGTTTTAAGTTTCGTATTAATTAACATTCAGTAGTATAATGTGTATATGAAGTCTTAGGAGATTTGATCTATCCTATAGGATACGATTACGAAAGTAATAGTGAGTCAATGAACATGATGTAACACAGAAACATTCACAGCTTGAGATGGTGGAGAAGATTTGTAGCTCAAGTGGATGATTTTGGTGGAGTTTTGTTCTCTGAGCTGAGAACAAAACTCCACCAAAACATTCACAGCTTGATTAATTATGGAGTTTAAATGTTACGTAAGCTGAACATATGTCGACTCATCATTAAAAATTTCGTAAACTGTTTAGAGAAAATATTTTAATTATATTGAATAAAATTATAAGATGGTGGAGAAGATTTGTAGCTCAGATAGATGATTTTGATGGAGTTTTGTTCTCTGAGCTGGATGGTTTGGTCGTGGAGCTCTCATCGTTCTTCTGAACGACATCATCAGCACAAACTTCAGGCAGAAGTTCCAGCTCAGAGGACAAAACCCTATCAAAATTGAATAAAATTGTGAAAAATGTGACAAGTTTTAAGGTTGGATAATATTTGAAAAAAAAGGAATAATGAGTCGAACTCACTTTGTATTGTTTGCTTGAATCTTCTCATTGATGTTTAGCAATGAAATTGATCAATCTCTTATTGGCATATGTGCATACTGTGTGAATTGCCTCGATCCATCTCTGCTTAGAATGCTTGTGAATTAAGGAAATATCGAGGCAGTCCTCATAGGATATACATATGCCAATAAGAGACTGATCAATTACAGTCCTAAACATCAATGGAAAGGATACAAGTAAACAATAATAAGTGAATATAACTACACACACTCTTCAGGACTCAGTAACTAAGTGAATAACGCGATGGCGTTTGAGACGAACGGGACTGGGTTCGAGTCCCACAGTGAACATCAATTCTGAGATGCAAGCACATCCACCTGACGAGTTCAAAATAGGATGAAATGAGCATCGTGAATATTACTACTAACCACTATTCATCTTTGTTTATAATGTGTCGAACTGTTATTAACACACTAATTACACAAGAAACGAAGTGTAATATCACCTACATCTTACACGTTACTGTAAGTTCTTGATAGTGAAGAAAAGTCGTATTCTCATTTGTCTTATAGACGTATAGTTCAAACTTATTTATGAGAATTCTCAAGTTATCTAAGGCATGTGATAGACAAAGTTCCAAATCAATAAAGTTGAATAAGACTCGAGAAATATCTTTGAACACTGAACAAATTAACTGATTGTTCCAGGGCAGATTGATCTCTTTGTATCACATCATTTTTTTATTCGACTGTGAATATCCTTGTCCAAAAATATAATGATTTTATATCCTTTCAGTAGGTTTAATGTAAGTTGCTTCATTATAAGTAACGCTTGTTAAAACATATCCACTATTATCAATAAGGAACTAGTCAAACATAAATATATTTTAATGGTTGGATTCATGAGTCATTTGAAGCTAGACCACAATGGAAAACCTGAACCTAGAAGCATTAGATAGCCAAATCGTCCTATTGTGGGACTCTTCAACAGTGTGTATCCACGATTCTGCCTCGCGAGATTCGAACTCAGGACCTATCGGTCTCTCTCGTGAACGCTTAACCTCTAAATCACTGAGTCAACCGACATCCAATGGTGTTAATGCATTTATATATATAGTTCTTTAGTCCTTCATTTATATTTTCAACAACAGCAACAACAAAAAATATTTCCCCATAGAAATTATTAAATTATTTCACAAATTAACTTACCAGCATTTTATTTCCTTTATGGGTGTGTTTTACTTTAGAAACACATACATGATTTATGATATTTCTCTTATTGATTACTTGGGTAAATATTGATTTTTGTTGTTGTTGTTGTTGGCAATTTCAATGATAGTAGAAAAAAACAAATAATTAAGGGTATGGAATTGATATACAAGAACTCCTATACGTATTTGTATGTTATTACTTATCCAAAAGAATAGAATATATGAAACATAAAGTTCATTGACACTCTCTGAAATGGAGATGATTTTCATCTGTATTATTCAATCGACCAGTTGAAGCACTAAAGTCAGACATTAACGTAACTACAAGTATGCTTTACCTTCTATTCAAAAAGATTTGGGAGGAGGAAGAAGTACCGATGAACTGGAAAGAAGGACACCTCATCCACTTTTCGAAGAAAGGAGATCTGAGCAAATGTGGAAACTACAGAGACATCACACTGCTGTCAGTACCAGGGAAAGTCTTTAACAGAGTGTTGCTGAACCGGATAAAAGATTCAGTAGACGCCCAACTTCAAGATCAACAAGCTGGATTCCGTAAGGATCGGTCGTGCACAGACCAAATTGCGACACTACTTATCGTCGTCAAACAATCGATTGAGCGGAACTCATCACTGTGCATCAATTTCACTGACTATGAGAAGGCATTTGACAATGTGGATAGGAGAAACTTATGGAACCTTCTTTCAGAGCATGGAGTGAGTAGCTCAGAAAATCGTCAACATCATGCAGAACTAATATGACAGATTACACTGCGTATTGGTGCATGGTGGACAGGGTTAGCTGGAGAATGCTGGTGGGCAGCCTATGCTGCTCCAAAAGGAGTAACAGTCATAAGTAAGAAAGTATTGAATCAGCATCACTAATCCTTTTCATTATGGGGTGGTAGCATCAGTGATGGTATATTGACCTTCGATTTT